AGTAAAATTAAGATCCACAAATAAAATTCTAATTTTTTTTTAAAAAAATAAGCAAAAAAAAAGTTGATAGCCGCAATTAACGTACCCCAAAAATTCTACGATGCATTTGAAATTCCTCGAGATAAGAATGCTCTGGCTCGTAAGAAGTTACAAAGTTTAAATGTAACTGGCCTTCATTAAATATCTGTGAGCTGAACATAGCTGTGATTTGTTTTTTGGTGTTTGATCATTATTAAGGAACGAAAAATAGAAATTATTTTGAGCATAAGTAACTGATGCATTTTTCTTATTACTATTATTTTGGTTATTGATCCTAGCTATCACTTCTTAACTGGTTCAAAGATTTTGTTGGACAATACGTAAAATTAACATTAAGGGTAAACCTTTCAATCTTTATGATCGCTGAAAAAAATACATTTTGAACAATTAAATCCTATATTCAGTAACAAAATACCACAGATCGTCGCATCTCGGGCTTTTTCCTCGAGCTGTTCCCTTGGAAACTATTGGCTTTACCAATCAAAAGATAAGTAGTCAAAGAGTGAAATGTTGCACCTACATTGAACACCGCGCATGTCTGGGGGGACATCTCCCAATTTTACGATCGTGTAATTTTTAACCAATTCAACTTTTTGATGAAATGTTGCAGCTTTAATCGGGTGAACTGGGACAAGAAGGATGCGTATACGGGCAGGTGCTGTGAATATTAGGGGATCCATTTTTTAAACTAGTAATTTCAAGAAAGCACTTACAAATTCAAATACCAAATGTGAAATATTAAACACGGATATTACTTATGATTGGATGATTACTATTGATTGGATGATGCATATACTACATATTAAGGCAAAATCTACAAATTTTTAAAACAGTTCTCACGAAACTTCAACAAAATGGAAGAATTTAGCAATGGTGATTCTAAAGTGAACGACTCGACAATAACCAATTCGTCTGCCGACAATGCACCAAATGATACCAATGTTGATAATGTTCAGCCTGTTGTAAAAGCAGAGGAGGAGCTTCCAACGACAGCAAAGAGTGAAACTATGACCTCAGAGGCTCCTAAGGCCGACATTGAACCTAGAGAGATTTTGATTTCTCATGCTGTCAAATTTCTTTCCAACTCGTCAATTCTCGAGGCTGACGACGAAAAGAAAATTCAATTTTTGTTGGGAAAAGGGTTGACAAGAAAAGAAATCGACATTGCAAAAGAAAGAGCTACACAAGTGGTAATTGTAGTTATGACTAGTGATTCAGATCATTAGTTGAAAAACAGCTATAGTTAAGCTTCCATATATGCACGCTCTATAAGTGTATACACTCTATAATTGCACCCTATGCCTCAATCCCAACTATTAATACCATTTGTAAACTACTCTTTAAATGCACACCCTCCATAAATGCACATTTATGGTCAGTCTCATGGGGTGCACATATAGAAGTTTGACTGTAATTGACAACCAACAGACTAATCGATTATGAAAAATTTTAAGCTAATCGACTGATAACCAATTGGTTCAACTACAACGGTTAGTTGTTTAATTGTTGTTAGTTTAGTTGATTAGATTAACGTTGCTTTTGGCTTTCAATAAAAGTTGCAAAAGTAGTTTTTGTAATTCTAATGGAACATTTTTACTTTTCATGACTATATATTTCTTAAATTTGCAAGGAAAAACATATTGTCTCGAAAACCAAAAATGTTTCTATCTCATGATCTATTGGATGAATTTACCACCATTTAGAATTACAAAAACTACTTCTACAGCTTTTATTAGAAGCTGAAAGGTTTAGTAGCACATACAATAATCAAAATACTAGTTAAATAACTAAATGGGCTACGTGGCTTTCATAATTAATTAGTTGCATCTAACGAGGGGGATTAGTGGTGGCAGAAACGATCCTCGGCCCCGCGATTTCCGAGCAAAATGTATTCAGAATATCATCACATGATCAGTAACTATGAAATTTTCTGTCCAATATCTCATAATATACGGAGTCCTAAATTGCTCGGAAATCACGGGACCGAGGATCGTTTCTGCCACAACTAATCAGGGACGACTAAATTCTGCGTGTGCTTAGTTCAGACAAATTGTGATTTAATGTGGTCAAAAATTTCCAATTTCTGTACAATTCCGACATTGTTATTTCTGTGATTTGATGCGATTATAATTCTCTAAAAACATGATTCCCTGATGAACGTTCTCGTAATTTTACGTTGATTCATTGTCTACAATCGATATTGATATTTTGCGCTACTTTTTTAGAATTCTGATATTCTATGGTGACTAAGGTCCAAGAGAAACTCTGCTGTTTTCCGTGATCGCAGAATATCATCGTCCCTGCAACTAATCCACCTCAACAGCGTTAGGGTTGTAAACTTGCATTATAGCTCACATAATAACTTATATAAAAATTGCATGCAAGTTACATTGTAAATTATATCAAATTTTGAAAATTTAATGCAAGTTTACAACCAAAGTTGAGACAATCGATTTGACATGATCCACTAACAAACGAACTACGAAATTTGTTCATAGCAAATGTCTACTACGCCCACTGCTACTGCATCTATTACTACGCCCATACCCCCAGCAGTTCCTCCTCGTACATATGCATCGACAATGCCCGTGGCGAGAACGCCTTTGTGGAAACAACTTGCTTTCGTTTTGCTTATAACCGGTACTTTTAGTGCTTTCATGATTGCAGTGATCAAGGTAGTCAGCCACTATCTAACATTCAACATTTCACGCGTCTATAATTTTTAATCACTAATATTGTTATTATTTAGAAATTTCTTGGTCCAATGGTTACTTCGATCATTTTTGCCAAGCAACAACTCTATTCTCATCAACTTTCCCTCTTTAGAAAATTCAACGAAGCGCTTTTATCATTCGTATCTCTGCTAAGAACACCTCGTATGTCGTCACATGATGACTCCAAGATTAACTCGGATAGCGATGAAGAATTACCAACTCCAACTGACCAAGATGAAATATCAACGCCACCCTCTTTGCTTGCTCCACTTTCAACTGACTTAACAACATTGGCGGAAAGATTGAATACGTATCAACAAAATCTAGAAAAAAATAATGACTTATCAGATTTAAAACTTTCGGTTAATACATTAACAGCATATCTCACGGAAAATACATATCCATATAAAATTTGGACTAATAGTGAACGTGGAGATTCAGCTGTAGCAAGATTCAAAGAAGAAATTAGAGGATTAAAAGGATTATTAATCAATCGCAGAAATTTTCCAAAAATCCCTGCAACACCAACTACCTATTCATCAACATCTAAACCACCAACAGAACCACAAATACAGGAAATTGAATGAACAGTGAATGTAACCTGTAAATAAAGGCTAAATCAATCGTAAATAAACCTCGGATGCTTGCTAATTTATGGCATTTTGTATGTATAACGGATTTTTAGAGAACATTTAGGGAGTGAAGAAATAACAAAAAACAATGTAATTTCTTAACATTTATCTATTTTATTATAAACTTTTTGACTCGTTGATAATATTATTGTCGCTCCCATGCTATTTTTCAACCTAATCTGGCTAGTTAAATTGTAGGGTCTGAAAATTGCAAATTTAAAATTTAATATCGTTATAAAAATAGATGTTGAGACCATAATAATAGTGTAAAATTTCATGTTAAACAAGTCTACTGTATTTAGATTATGAATATGAACGTTTACTTGTAATAAAATATTCTAGCCGTTAGGTATTATCGGAACGAAGTTTTGCTTGTACACGTAAAGGGCATGACAATAAAATATTATACTTGAGTAATTTGAAAATGGCTGATTTATTATCAATGATTTTGAGTTTGAACAAATACTACGAACCTCAAGTTCATTTAAGACCAAAATCATCGAAAAAACGAATTAGAGATCGTACCCGAATATTAATAAATTACCCGGTTAACCGGGTAATTTTATTATAGCTATATAATAACATTTTCTACACGAGTACAATATCTAAAACAAATTGACAGTTCTCAAAGTATACTTGTTAAATGCTGCACTAACGAAAATTGAATTTACAAAAAATATTATCATATGCTCGTATCTCAAGAACTGTTGATCCATTTTCCATAATTTTTGGTCTAAATGAATGCTAACGTTCGAAGCATTAATTTAAATCCAAAATTATTAATAGAGTCTATCCGTTCTTGAGATATCGACATTATTGATGATGCATTCGTTGCGAGATCGAAAATGAAATAGCAATCTTATGATGCTGATATCTCAAGAATGACAGAACCTTTTTTTGATGATTTTTGGTATAAATTAATGCTTTGAATCGTAGCAGTTATTTGGGGTCTTTGCCTTGAAAATCACCTTCCGAAATTTCCATCGGGCTAATTCGGACGAAATCAAACCCGCGTATTAGTTCATGTTTATATGTAAACCTCCTTTGCCTTTATTGATT